TCTCCACTTTTTTTTTTAAAGGACTCCAGAAGCAAATTCTCGTGCCTCCAGTCCCTGTCCTGAATTGGAACAGTTTCAACTCATTCCTGCAGTAGAAACTTCCTATATTGCCCGAGCTGGAAAGAATGAATTCCTAAACCTTGTTCCAGATATTGAGGAGATCAGACCAGGGTAAATTTCTTGTTGTGATTGTGCTTTCCCATGTGCTGTCACAAGGGTTTTCTGTGATTTTTATTGTCCTTATCCCATGCGAGGAAAAGTAACTAAACAGGCAATAGCAGAATTATACAGATGTAGGTGATGCAGCTGGCAGCAGGATTGATGAGAGTTGTGTTTATCTTTAAACTCTGAAGCACTTCTGCCCTGCATTCAATTTTGCAGACAAAATTCACCTTTTTGTAGAAGAGCTTTTTTATTATAATGTTATAGACAGTGCATATGAAGGCCCTAGCTTTGTGTAATGTTTTGCAGCTAATAGCAGTAGTTGGCTTACTTAGAAGAATTTTTTTTTCAGCTCTGTAGTCTCAAAGAAAGGATATCTGCACTTCAAAGAACCCCTCTCCAGCTCCTGGGCCAAGCATTTTGTGGTAGTCCGCCGTCCATATGTTTTTATTTACAACAGTGATAAAGATCCTGTGGAAAGAGGAGTCATAAACTTATCCACGGCTCAGGTGGAGTACAGTGAGGATCAGCAGGCAATGGTAAAGGTCAGTAAAGAGCACTTGTTTGTTATGGGTGGAATAGGAATAGCACTGCAGGTGGTCGTGCACTTACACTGTCTTGTCTGTCATCTCTGGTCTAAGGAAAACACATGGGTATTTTAGAGAAATGTCCCTTTACCTCATGACTTCTGATGATGCTGCCAGCAAGGCTCTGAATTTGATCAGGGTTTAGGCTCAGCTTCTGTGCTGGTATATTTGGTTATTTTAAATTGTATCTGATATTTCAGACACCCAACACTTTTGGTGTGTGTACAAAGCACCGCGGGGTCCTGCTCCAGGCCATCAATGACAAAGACATGAATGACTGGTTATACGCCTTCAACCCACTTCTTGCTGGCACGATACGGTAAGAGGCAGCTCTTGAGCACACAAATACTACAGAGCCTAGAGACAGTTATGAGCGAGGGGGCAACTAGTCCCAGAGTTAATCTGGTTCTGAAGGATTCGAGAAGGTGAGTGAGCTAGGTGGGAAATTATTATGACTTGTACAGAAGAGCAGAACAGAAAATGGGCTGATTTGTGGGGAGGGAAGAAAAATTATTTTCCAGAATTCAACAGATTTTTTTTTTTTTACTTTTTTCTTGTGCAGGTCAAAATTGGCTCGGAGACGCACGGGCCAGATGAAGTACTGAGTCCATGTAACGTTCTCATCTGTTCTCCTTAACTCACCTTCTGATAGATAAAGTGTTACCTCTCATTTTCTCTTTGTGATTCTTGACAGTTTCTCTCGTATGTAATCCTGTGGCTTAATGTTCCCTACCTTCCCAACTCTTTCAGCACATTTTCTAGCTATTCTAATCCTACCTTTTTTCTTTTCGTTTGTGCTGAGAAATCCTACTAGTAGCATGTGGCCAAAAAAAAAAAAAAGAAAAAAAAAAAGAAAAAAAAGGATTGAGTTATTATGCACGACTCTAAAAAGAAAAAAAATATATTTTTTTCTTATAACAGTTGTTTTCCCATTCTAACTGACCTTTCAGTGTCTATTCTACTGTCTGTGTTGTCTGTCTAAAATGCTGTAGGTTTTTCATTCAGTTTATGATTTGGCAGTAGTCACTGGTTCCTTCAGGGCTAACTTCTAATGCCAGGGGAAGATTATTCCTTCTGTAGACATTACCCAGCCAGGAACTGCAATAGCTCTCAGGCTTTCTGGATCCAGCCTCCTAATTAAATACTGTTGAAAACTGATATTGGATAAATCTATCTGGGCAGATTGGATTTGGGACTGGTGCAAGTTTGAGTTTCCAGGGTCCAGCACACAAGGGCATGACCCGGAAAAGGTGGAGGAACGAGGCAAGCGGGGCTGGCTGTGATGATCTGCCTTGAACTCTTGGTGTGGAGGGCAGATGAGCAGTGCTTGGATCTGCCTCTCCCTGAGCACATGTGCACTCCTCTGCCTGAGAACTGGGCTGAGCAGGCAGAGCTTGTGCTCAAGTGAGGAAAAATACAACGTCCCTAAAGTTCAAGATGCTCAGCCTCATATTTTATGTGGATGGGGTGTGTTAAGCTGAAAAAAGCCAGCATTGTTGTTCCTAGAGTGTGTTCAGGAGATCACCACGGGGGGGCAATAATTCCCTTTTCGGCTTTTAGTTTTGGCTTTTGGGTTCCTGTAGCAACAGTTCTCACTTCCCTCTCCTGGGAAGAGATTTTTAATTCTAATTGGCACATCCTGGAAGAGTGCTCTGAGCGGTGTATTCGGCATCTTTCTGAAAGACCTGCTTTATGCATGCATCCCTTATCTGCAATATTCAGATGACATCTAGTCTGCTCATGGGCAAAGCATCTCTCTCTAGAAAATAATTTCTGAACTTACCACTTGCAATATTCTCCAGGCATCTATAGAATAGCGTTCATTTCTCCTTGGAATAATTGTTGAATATCTCCTATCTCCCTGCTGCAGTTTACCTTAGCTAAAACCCCTTACTGAACTTTTAACTTCAGAGATGGTCCTTCCCGGAGGACAGATCAGGCAGACTCCAGTCCTGGTCAGTGGGCTGCAATAACTGGCCTTTTGGAGATCAGCTGCTGTTGGTTCTTGGCCTACAATGCAAGTTCTCCTTGAGCTTTGATCCTTGCCCCAAGAAAAGGAGGCAGAATGACTTCCCTCCTGACAAGTAAACTCATCTTGCGAGTTTTCAGAGAGGTTGGGATTTTTGGGGTTGTTTTTAACTGTTTGACTACTGTGCTACACTCTCTTGACTTGCCTTGGGCACCGATAGGGCTAGCTGTGATCCTGGGGAACATGCACGGATTTCATGCTAAGCCCCCTGTCTCAGGGTGGAAGCAGAAGGGGTTTGTTCCATTGCACGGTTAGTCACACTTAGCAAAATACCATTTTGTGACACCAGCTCAGGAAGGTTATTTTCATTCAGATCACTTGTCACCAAGTCATGCCATGTCCTGTTGCCGGAATTGTGTATGGGACTGTCAGAAGTTAAGCTTTTTTTTTTTTTTTTTTAAGCTTTATGGATTTTTTGCTTCTGCAGTAAGGTGCAGTGCCTAATGGTACCTCCTAAAAGCATGGCTAGAAGAGGGACAGGGAGATGGAGTCAGACCCTTGCTAGGGTATATGTCTATATATTTCCAAATAGTATTCCAGCTAAACTATGTACTCATCCTGTCTCCTGTGATCCTCAGACTTGCTCCAGAACTGGAACTCGGAGTGAGGGAGTGTTCTGGGGACCCAAGAGCATAATATGGAAAACAAATTCTTCTCTGGCTGCATGTTGTTTAACTGAGTGACTCAATAGGATGATGGCATTTCTTTGTAGTGGACGATACGCACTTCAAGTGTGTCGTGCAAATAGGACTCTTGGTGCTGAAAGAGAGCTCCCAAACTGGGGCTAAGCAGAAGTCAAGATGCATTAAGAATGAACTGATTTTAAGCACTGAGTTGCTACTACCACCGCTGTTTGCAATGAAGGTGAAACCAGTCTCAAGAAAGCAAAGGAGAGGTAGCAATTCAGGTGGTGGCATTATGTGATGCACTGAGAATGTTTGTGTTTTTGTTTTTTTATTTTTATTGTTTTAACTAGAACAAAACTAGTTTGTTAAGTCTTTGCTTTGGATAAGCCAGAAAATGAACTAAGAGGATACAGGTATTGCACAGAAACATGATTAAGGGAATCTTCCTTTAAAAGCAGGAAGAGACAGATGCTTACTTTATACAGAGCTTGAAATGTACAGCAGTGTTGCATAAATGCTACCCTTATATCTAAGGTCTCCAAGCGGCTTCAGATGGCTTGATGTATATATGTATACAGGTTGTCCTAAGGGCAAAATTCTATTTTTAAGCATCCACATCTCTTATAGCCTCCTAATCTGTGACAAAAATCTATTCTTGTCCCGTGGAGTTCAAATGGGCATTATTGTTTTCAGGTCTGATATAAAGTAGACGGTCTTAAAGTAAACGCTTATTGAAGCTTGGTTTGAGACATCAATTTCCCTACTCCTTAAAACTGACAAACAGCTGAGGTTTTCTTGGAGAAAGAGAGAGAGAGGGAGGTAGAGAAAAGAGGATTTCAGCTCACTTAAGCTTTTTTTGATCTAGTCAAACAAGTTACAAATTTCAGTTTTGAAACGGATCAAGAAGGGAGATATGTGCCAAGCTGCCTTCTCTTGACATTTCAAAACCCATTGGGTCACCTGCAGGGTGCCCGTGGGCTCCTGGAGTCAGACAGCTCTCAGGGCCCAGGCGCCGGCCGGAGCTGTGGGCCAGCCAGCCCGCGGCGCAGAGGCACCGGCAGCCACCTCGCCTGGCTGCTCCTGCAGAGACCTGGGAGTGCGCGAGCTGCAGCTTTGGGTTTTGTGCTGTTCGTGGGAGAGAAGGAAAAACAAAATAAGGTCCTGTGAAAGCCATGTCGTGTTGGTGCTGGAGCTTCCCAAATACTTTAAACTAACCCTCCTATACTGTGTTTTAGAAATGCACTTTAAGTACTTTTTTTTTTTTTTTTTGCTTATTAGAAAACTCCTATATTCTGGAACACAGAAGGAAAGGGAATAGTATTTCCAAACCACTGAGAAAGTTTTGTTTTGTTCTGCCAGTGTCTAACAGTCTTTATGACTAAAGAGCAAGGTATTTCAAAGCAAAGACTTTACATTTTGCTGCTTGTTATCTAATTTACAGGGATTTAAGTTTATGTAATGTATTGTATATTTATACATCTGTAATTAATCGCACATATTAGAAAAAGGATTAGCTTGGAGTAGGACCCATTGGTACTTTGCAATCAACTAATACTGCCTATGCATATACATCTTTCTGGTACTCTTACACAGCCTTAGTTTGTGTTAGTTTGTATTGTGGTGGCGTTTCGTTGTTGAAGATGCAGTTTTTAACCTGCTGCTCAAAGGAAGGATACTAATGCTGCTCTGGGACGGTTTGCTGAATGTATTTTAAAATGGGTCTCTAACATGTGCGTTGCATCTCTCTTTTGTGGTTTAAAACCCAATATGTGGTCTGAACTGTACTGTATGTAGCGGGAATGTGTTAATTTTGTGCTTCCTTGTTAAAAGCATCAGCCGTTCGAAGAACAGGATTGAGATATTTTGTTCAGAAGGCCATTTATGCGCTCTAAGTCTTTGAAATCAAAACTAGTCCAACACTAACCGGATGGTTGTGTCCAGTGTCAATTGGGCCGGTTTTTAAATTAATGCGAGTCGCCGTGTATTCAGAAAACCGAGGGCGTGTTGCCAAATTAGTGGCCTGATCCTGAGCAGTACTGAACTACCTCTTGCTCACGCTGAGACCAAGGAGTGGAAGCAGAAGGAATCTTGGATGATCGGCGCTCCCCAGGGTCAGCCCTTAATTTTACACTTCGCTTATTCACCCTTCACGTGCAGTTATTGATGTTCTCCACTTTGGACATTAGACATGCTGTTGCACTGAACTACATACGTTTCTTTTTGGTTTTGGTCCCCATTCCTCCATTCAGCATCTCTGTACACAAGGTATACAAGGTATACGCTGTATAAGTGGCCTTCTTGAACAAATCTCTTTGCAAACTGATTTCATCCCAGCGAAGGAGTGCATCAGCAACACTGTACATTAATTTCCGATTTCATTTTCATATTTTATTTTGTAAATATATCTGATGTTTGGAGCTTGAGTATACAAATGTAAATATAGTTCATGTATTTGTACTAATTCGGATCCATTGCTGTATAGCCTTAGGTGTGCAGACATTATCTAACCGTGTATGGTAACCTTGCACCACCGACCTGTTAGTGACGAGGTGAACAATAAAGGTACAACCAGTGCACCGGCTGCGCTCCCGTGTGCTCCTTGAGCAGGCCCTAAAGGCCAGGGTTTTGCCCCAATTCCGTGGTCTCAAACTCGCCCGTAACAATCCCGGGAGCTCGCGGGCGCTTTCTGGGGATTGGGAGCCCCTCTCCTCCCTGCTGCTTCTCGGTGGCGGGTGGTTTCGGTAGCTGCCCCTTTAAGAGAGGGAGGGGCACCCATCGGCCCAGGGGCAGGGGGCGGGGCTCCGCCGGAGAGCCAATGGGCGCCGCGCGCCGCCCCGCCCCGCGCGCGTGAGGGCCGGGCGGGCGCTGCGGCCGAGGGCACAAGAGGCGCCGCC